GGTGCATGTGCTGGAGCCCAGGATGCTGCAGTGGGTAGTTGTATCTCAACACAGTGCTTCATTTTGGCACTTCTTGCAGAAGTTAAAGATGAACTGGCAGATGGCTGGAGTTCAAGTGTCTCCTTTAAGCTGTCTTTGCCAGAAGCATCAGATTCATTGGCAGCTGGTCAGTGTTCAATACAGGGTTTTCCCCATTAGCACTTCCAGTTGGAAGACACACATGCATCTGCAGGCAATCATCATTCAGTGCAGGGTCTGCCCAGTGGCATTTTCTGCTGGGAGTTCCACATGCATCTGCAGGTGAGCTGAGCTTGGTAGAGGGTCTCCTCAACAGATTTTCTTGAAAGCAGCCACAAAAGTATTGGTAGATGAGCAGATGTGTGTTTGATACACATCTCCCATTAGCACTTTCTGCTGGGAATCCAGGATGCAAGCATAGTCTCCCAGAAGCATTATTGCTCTGTGGTCAGCGGCTGGGATCTGATGTGTCTGTGAGTCAAAAAACTTCTTGTGGCAAAATTTCAAATTAAGGAGGCCTGCATAAAAATGACGTTGCAATGAAAAAACACCATTAACCTGGAAATAGCGATGCCAAAGCACCAAGGCTCTAGAGCAGGGGTCGGCAACCTAAAATTTACAATGCTAAAAAAGACAAAGGTGTCATAAGGAATAGATACCTCACAAGAAAAAGTGTCAAAGACCGAGAACAAATCACCAAAGCACTAAAGGCTTGTCCACATGGCAAATTAGTGCACAGAATCCACAGCGCATTCATCAACCATGCACTAAGTCGCAGTGTGACTCCTGCTACCGCACCACAGAACTTTTAGTGGGTGCATACAGCTATTTAGTGTGCGATAGGCTACAGCACTATAGCTTTACACCCCAGCTTGCCACTCACTATTAGTCTCTGTATGGACAAGCCCTAAGATCAAGCTCTATACATACGTACACGCACAGCATACATTCACTTAGCACAGTTGTAAATGACTACACAAGCTGGAAGGCAGTAGAGGATCAGGTCTGGTATGTTTAGAAAAGTAATTTTATATAATTAGGAACTTTTCCTCTTCTTGGACAGTGGCTTTACAGTAGAGTGGGATTTTTCAAAAGTGCTCAGCAATGGCTTATGCTGCTTTCAGTGAAGATAGTGGTAAAATTCTCATTGACTTCAATAGGAGCAAGATTAGGCCAGTTCAGAGTGCTTTTGAAGATCCCAATCTATATCTATTGCACCATTTTAAAAAAGAATGTATACTGTCAGAAGAGACAGACATAAAGATGACATAATACTGGGGGAACTCTGCACCACTGCGTAAGTGCAGAATTCATGTCTCCCAGAGATTTCTTTGCTTCCCCACAGAAAAATAACTTTCAACGGGGAAGCAAAGGGAAGCCTCAAAACCAGTCACATACCCCTCCCCAGGGCGTGTTTTTCAGGCACTCAGAGCAGCCGGCAGAGAGGTACATCACTGCTTGGGATGCCCAGACCTGTGGCTCCTACCCTATGTCAGGCTCAGCTGCTAGTCCCAGCTGGGCTGGGGGTGGGGGAGGACAGGACTGCCTTGTCTCCTGCAAAAAGCAGCCTGGGCCAGATCAGACACACCCCAGAAACTTTCCCCAGCTGCAGGAAGCGTGGAACATACCCCCAGCCTCTTGCCCCCATCACTCCTCAGCTGCACCAGGGAGGGGTCTCTGTACAGGGAGCTGCTCCCCCATCCACCCAACCCCCGTTCATCCAGACCCCCCCCATACCCAGACCCCGCTGCCAAGCCTCACCCCCCACACACATCTGAACCTCCCCCTGCTGAGCCTCACTCCCTGCATTTGGAGCTCACCCTGCACTCAGAACCCCCCTGCCAAGCCCTCACCCCACATCCAGATCTCCACCCCTACACCCAGGCTACCCCCACTGAGCCCCTTGCACTCAAACCCACACCCTGATGAGCTCCACACCCCCCTTCACCTGGACCACCACGGCATACCACCTGGACCCCCACCCTAACCCCCCAACAAGCCCCTGTACATCCAGATCCTCCCCACTGAGCCGCCTGCAATCAGATTGTCCACCCAGAACCCTCACACCCCACACCTGGATCCCCCCACACTAAGCTCCTCCACACTTGGATTCTGCCGGGCTGAGCCTGCCTGCCCATACCTGGTGTGCCTGGCATAGAGAGGCAGGGCCCTGGAGTATTTCTGGGGCAGGCCTGGCTCTTGCACTGTGTCAGGGTCAGGTGCAGCCTCACCACCGAGTCAGTGTACAGGGGTGGGGGGGCTTCAGGGCAATCCTCTACCTCCGTCCAGCTAGTGGCCTGTGCTCCCCACTGCCATGCTGGAGCCTCCACATTTATTTATTGACAAATAAAATTTGCAACATTTTAAAATATTGTGTGCAGAATTTTTATTTGTTTTGGTGCAGAATTCCCTCAGGAGTAAGTTATGGGGTCTAAACAGGGTTTGGGGGTTTGAAGTTCAAGTTCTAAAGATGGGAAACAGCCACTTAACCTTAAATATATAATTCTGCAATTATTGAAAGCACAATTCCTTTCCCAGTCCCAGTTGTTCACGTGCTCCCTGTCCCCCAGATTTCTGCTAGGATTCACACAGAATGTCAGAACCATCTAGTGAGGGTTGTTGCCCTCGTTACCTTTGCCATGCCCATAAGGTGATCAGATGTCCCGATTTTATAGGGACAGTTCCGATACTCGGGGCTTTGTCTTATGTAGGCTCCTATTACCAGCATTCCAATTTTTCACACTTGCTATCTGGTCACCCTACTTGCCCAGGAGCTGCCCCGGCCCATGTCTTTGCAGAGCTCATCTCTTCCCCGCTCCCCACCGCTGCGGCTGGCAGCAGTTCCTGTCCCTTCCCACTCGCACAGCACCAAGGGCGGCTAACACCTCCAGGCTGCTGCTGGCCACCGATATAATCCAGCCGCTTCCTCTCCCCTAGCTGCAGCGCAGGCAGGAAGGGGTTAAGGAGGCATTGTGCACTGTGGGGCCCTCAGGAACCTGCAGGGGTGGTTGGGATCTGGCAGAGGGGAGGAGGAGGAGATGACACGACACCCAACCCGAGCCCAGGGAGAGAGTGGTGAGGGGTGCCCAGAGCAGCCTGGCTACATCCCTTCCCTGCCAGTGCGCAGTGATGCCATCCTGGGCTGGAGGCGACTCCTGCCATCGCCTGCCCTTCCACACAGACAGCAGCAGCAGCCTGGTAGAGCTGCAGGAGCTGAGGGGCACAGGGACTCAGCCCACTCCGGACAGCCGAGCTACCTGCCGAAGGTGGGGGAGGGATTGCACTGAAGAAGGCACAGTGAGTGACTGTGAGGCCATGCAGCTTATGCCCCCCCCCCCACGTCATCACTGCGGACAGGGTTCACACCAGAACCTTTAAATTGTGGGGGGGGGCCCACCAATATCAACAGTTATGTGTCGCCTCTGTTAAAAAACCCAAGATTATGGAACTCACTGTCAGATGAAATAAGAACAATAAGCCCACCACTTTGCCAAGGCTTTCCCACAATATTCTCATAACGATTCATTAACAAAAAAACAACGCTAAGCCTGCTTTTTGGTGGCAGGGCAGAGCAGGGAGAGAGCAAAAACACTGTTGTCTTTTCAATAACAGGAGGTGTTCAGCTACTGTGGTTATATAGAGAGCCATGTACCTACCTGGAATGAGCAGAATATATTAAACATTTAAAAAAACAAGCAAGAAACAAAATTGTTTGGAAGGTCTAATCTGCAAGGCTCATCCAACTTTACCATACACACTTCTGCACTCTGCTCTCCCCAAATATTACTGAGCACCATATATTCCTCCCAAATGCAGGCAGTTACCATGCAGAGAAAATAATACATTATGCTGCAAAGATAGTGCATCTCTTGGTGTTAGGGTCTGTTTCTTTTATTTTTGTAAAGTACCAAGCAGAGATACTAGAATGCTAATTCTATGTTAAGCCTTAAAGAGGGAACCCTCCCCCCACCCCACAAAGCTGTATTAAATTTCCTCTGTCACATTTACTTCGATTTTAAACTCTTTGGGGCAGAGACTGTCTTTCTGTTCTGTATTTGTACAGCGCCTGGCACAGTGGGAGCCTAGTCCATGACTGGGGCTCCACAGCACTGCTGTGATACAAATAATAAAGGTTTAGATGCAAATGTTTCATTACATTTTCTAATTATTTTTTTCATTCATCACTCACTTGAGTTTCTTGAAGGCCTCCCTGCCACCAGCCACATAGTGCTCTCCACTCTGGAGCTCCTCCAGCTGACGGACGCGATGCCCGCCCCGGGGGGTGTAGATGCTACGCACAGCCCCAAAAGGCGCCTTCACCCCACCAGTCACCTCTTTCAGGAAGACCTCGAAGTTGGACACCTTCTTCTCATGGACGACTACCCGGTGCCCCGGAAAGAACGGATCCCCGTTGCGATACACCAGCACACTCTTCACCATTGGCTGTGACAGGCAGGTCGGCTTCGTGGGGGGCTACTCATGTTCAACTCCTCTCGCTGCTGTTGCTGCGGCCAGACAGTCAGTGCTGCCCTCCAGGCACTGTCTGCACCTGTTTATTCAACAAGAATGTTCCTCTCTCACACACACTGTCAAATACCTGTGATGCATGAACTGTGTACACACATGCACACAATACCTGCACCAAGCACCACCTCCAATAGGCAAATCCCTGTCTAAAACAACCAGGGAGGGATGAGAGCCTCCCTAAGGTTTCCAGTACAATTCTGTTCAGCCCTTCAAGAGCAACCTCTGCTAGGCAACCGATTCTTGCTGCTCCCTGGAGCCTGGTGTGGCTAACACAGATTACACTAAGCCATACCCAAAAAAACGTATATACAGATCTAAAGGAGGAGAAAAAGTAACTGAGCATAGTAAGGAACCCATAGTCCTGCCGGATCTTCACAGCCTCACTTTGCACTTGCAGCTCTCTTCTTTCGCAAGTGGTTTTACTCCGTTGCTCAGGAAACTTTATCTTCCCTCCCCTTCCCACCTCAAAAGAAAGGAAAAAAAAAGAAAGAAACTCAGCCAAGTGAGGAGGGCTGCCAGACTGCAACAAACCAGAGAGATTAAGCCTAAACACACCAACCAAATCAGAGCTGGGCGAGTAATGAGAAAAGGAGGGGAAGGGGGCTGAGTCACAAATATTTTATTTGGAAAAAATTGCATGAAATTTGTGACTATTTCAGAATTATTCACCATGGTGGAAATGTTTTAGAAAACTCGCAGAAAACTCACAGAATAAGTTATCTGGTGCCTTTCATTTGCCCATCTCTGTATCAACATAATTATATGGGAACAGTCAGCACCTCCTAGGAGTGCAGGATGAATGGGCCCCTTAGGCCCCCATGTGATCAGCAGTAGGTGCATCATTCAAACACCAATAGCCTGGCAGAGGGAAGAGAAGCAGAAACCCCAGTGCAGACAGGGGACAAAAGGTAATTCAAGTCAGAGTGACAGGAGGTGAGGAATGGGAGCAGGGAGCAGCACCTGGCCTGGGGAGGCCCAGTACACTCTCTCTCTCACACACACACACACACTCTCAGTGTATGCGTGTGTGTCTCTCTCTCTCGCTCTCTCTCCACCTAGCACTCAGCTCTGAGCCACCTGGCACATCACACTGCTGCACGCTGGACACTGTTGCTGAGTGTGTGTCTCATGCTCCTCTCTGGGGCTCCCGAAGGTGGGGAGAGAAGGAGGCACCAGCCGTGGCAGTTGGTTCTTGCTGTTGCTCAAGGAGCTTCTCCTGGGGGCGGGGGGTAGGGGGGAGAATGTTGTTAGTTGCCACAGTTTCCATAGTGACCCAGGTAGCTCAAGAGCAGGGGGAGCATCAATCCACTGCAGAGAAAGAAAAGCGCACTGCTGCAGCCCCCGGGGGGAGGGAACCAGTGTGAGCCTGAAGGGGTGGAGGAAAGCTTGTGAGAACCCAAAAGAGGGGAGCGGGGAGAAGAGAGCTTGTGTGCATTTGAGGCGGGGAGGGCGGAAGAAAGAGATGAACTCTAAGGGCTAAACTTCAGGGAGAATTTAAAGTCACCACACCTCTGGCAGGACACTATGCAATGCCACAATTCCCAACAACTCTCATGGCCTATGTCTACACAGCAACAGGAAGCAGTTGTAGAGACTGAGCCAGAGAATACAGCCATGCTGTGTTACAGCAGATCAGTACTGGGTTTATTGTCTTCATTATCGTCTTCTTGTTATTTAAATAAATTATGTTTTCTCCTCTGTAACAGACTCCCCCGGAGCAGAGACTGTGACTGCCCCCCCTCATCATACAAGGTGTACAAGAGAGGGGTGAAGGCGCCGTCTTCCCTCCTCACATATCTGCACACAAGGGCCGGATCTATCTATCCATTCATCCATCCATCCCTCTTTTTGAATGTTATCCATATGAGAGAAATTCTTTGGAATTAAAGTATTTCTGCCACTATGAATAATAGTTCAAAAAGCCAAGATACATTGCACAAGGGAAACCTCAGACTGCATTTTAACTTATTAATGTGCTTCAAACTTATTCAGACAATTTACCTTCAGATATTCTGGTGTAATGTTATGCTTACTCCTGTATCTGGGGTGAAATCCTGCCTCCCTTGAAATCAAAGGCAAAACTCCCACTGATCTCAGTGGGGCCAGGATCTGACCTCCAGTATCTAGAAGCAACAGTGTTGACTGCATTAGAACTGTGGATGGATACAGCAACTGGTGAAGCACTATCTTCTCATTGGTGCTATTATTCTTTACTTATGGTTACAGATCTGATAAGAAAGGCCTTTACTGATTCCTCTTGTTTGTTCTACAAGGAAATAATGTTAAAATGCCTACTCTGTTTTGAGATATGTCCCTTAATTAACATTGTTTGCACAGAATCGGTTTCAGTGTCTTCAAAATAAGAGACACTCAGTTACATAAAATATTGCTGGGAGGACACAATTCAAAAGAAGAAGGGCTTGGTCCTCAGCGTATCTTCACTGCTATGGGTTCCTGGTCCAGGACTAGGTGCCATGGTAATACAAATAAATAAATAAAATAATAATAATGATGGGAGGATTCACTAGTTAGTAATCAGTTCTGCAGCCTTTACTTGCACAAGCAATTCTCCTGACGTTACTGGAACTACTTTCCTAGGTAAGGACTGGGCCTTAGAGTTTTTTCAGTGATTCAAAGATATAAAGTGCCATGTAATTGCTAAGCATTATTATTAGACTTTAAAAGGGGCAAAGGAAATTCCCTGCACCATGGAGACTTGGCTCACTCTTTTAAAAAAATCTATATAATGGGGAAAGGTTTTGCTGGAATAAGAAACATCTGAAAAACAGCCCCTTCATTTTGCACTTGGCATCTCTTCCTGGACTCCTTTTTTATAGGGATTAGTTTACTCACTCTCAAGAATAAAATAGACTTTTATTGGATTCCTTTAAGACCAGATTCACTAAAAACTCCATTGACACATGACAGAAGCAAGGACAAGCCACAACAAATGAAGAATGGGGTGGGGTGCTCCTGGGGTATGAAAGAGTAACAGAAGTAGGGGGTTTGGTTTGTTTGTTTTTTACCGACTCTGATCTGTGAGTTCTTAATTAGGGCTATATTTATTTGGTGCCAACATTTGTCTTTTTGTTTGTTACTGGCATCTGATAGTTTCTCTTTATATGACATGGACAGTCCATGTATAAAGCAACTGAAACACTGAAAACCATTCTGTATTTATATAACATATATTTTCTGATTTTTTTTTTCCTTTTCTGGTCTTCAATTATTAAGAACTTTCAAATGACAACTGGATTGGATCTTTGTATCTTTTTGCTCCTTATTCCTCACTTCAATTCAAAAACATGACTGGGCCATAATCAAGATATCAGTATGGCTGAGATCAAGTTCTCTGAATATACAAATTAAAAAATCAGAGTGTGTATTGGTTTGTTGCCTAGATCAGCAATACACATAAACACATATTTCGTAGGGGGATGCTCTCCATATGGCTATATAAGTCTTTCCAATTAAATTATACATATAGTGTTGTTGCTTTTTTTTGCCTTCTATTGTCCTTCTACTGCCTGAATGGGTAAGGTCTGTTGATAACACAAAGTGAAAGTCCGCTCCTACAATGATCAAGCAAGGCAGGAGTAAGCTCATTCCTGCAAAGTGAATTCACTTTGGGTAGATCGTGTTCCCTAAAAGTGTGGAGCTTTTTAACCACTCCTGTACTAGGACACAGTTGCCCTAAACACCAGAAATAACCCATTCCACGGCGAGAGGTCAGTTGGATCCTGTAAGAATCTAAATGGCTTCTGTTGAGCTGGAGACTGTCTGACCTCCTGTGGGATAACATCAGCCAATCAGAAACACAGAAGACACGATGGGACTTGCCCAATGTAGCCTGTCCTTCTGAACCAGGATTGAATTCAAAACACTACATGAATAATAGCCTGATAAAGTCTGTGGATATCCTAAGGCCAATAAAGTTTGCAAAAACAATCAATAGAAGATTTTGAGAAAAACCAACCTAGCACAAACTATTCATGGTTTACAGACAATGTTCAAGTCAGGCCAGTTAATTCTGAGTACTTTTGACAAATAATTAATATAATTCAACACAAAACAGTGATGTATATAACATACATATTAAGAATCCAATTCAACTTCCATTAAAGATCACAGAAAGACCCCATAGACTTCAGTGGGTCTAATATCAGACCTTAATACAGCAGCAATGTGGCACATTCATCCTAAATAACTTATAACTTTTCATAAATAAATGACCCTTTGGAATGAAATTTCCTTTTCTTGTTTTTAATCAAAAATTATTTGTGGTGTGTACAAAATTTGCTAAAATTCTTCCTAGACATCTTTGCATTATCCAGTCAGAATATAAGATGTTTTATAATAAGAATGTTTTATGCTCTGATTACTCAAATGTATTAAAAAAAACCAAATTTAAATGTCTCATGGACTTACTCAATGAAAGCAAATGCTTTGATACATTTGGACACATTTTGATGACAAACAGCAAAATTTGTATCTTGAAAATAGTG